CCGGCCCCGGGCCGGGCACGCGCGGGTTAACGCGGAGCGCAGGCGCCGCCGCGCCCGTCCCCTCGCGCTGGCGGCCGAAGGGGCTGGACGAGGCGCAGGAGGCCGCGCGTGTCCCGCGGGTCTCCGTCCCGCGCYCGGCGCCCCTCGCCCCCAGGGCAGTTACAGTAACAACCTTACAGTTAATGATAATAATAAAACTGTGRATAATTAGAGTTCGCCTTTTGGGGCCTGCCCTGAGCACCTTCCTGCCTGGACGTGGACCAAGAAATGGCGCTTCCCGCTCTCCGGGCGCCAGCCCTGGCTCTCGGCTTGCAAAGCGGGAAGGTGTGCAAAAGTCTGGCGTTTTCAGGATTTTTATTTTATTTTATTTTATTTTATTTTATTTTATTTTATTTTATTTTATTTTATTTTATTTTATTTGTGTTTCTCCTTCCAAACACTATGCTCCTGTTGTTGTGCATTGTGTTGTGCCCACAAAGTTGTCTTCATGTGAAATTCTTCTATTCGGAGGGAGAAACACCAGCTAAGAATGTTTGAATATCTGAAAGCCTGTTGTCATCTTGGAACCCATTTATTTAGAAGAAAAATATATGGGTGCGTCACAAGACAACTAAATAGGAGACAACATTTGCTGGGAGGCTGCTCGAGTTGTGGCGGGGTCTCCATGCCTGGGCATCACAGGCAGGTTGAGCCTGGCAGGGGCCGCTAGGGACCATCTAGCCCAACCCGCTGCTCCAGCAGGGTCCAGCCTGCCTGGCCCTGGTCACCTGGGCAGGTCACTCCAGCCCGGACCTGGGCATGATGAGACGTGCTTTGGTGTTGAACACTTGCCTCACGTCCTATTTATTTTTTTAATAGAGAAAATARAAATAGAAAGCGAGATGGTGTTTTCCCCAATAAAGACAACTTTAGTGCTGCCGATGTGGAACAGCACTGGCTTTTGCTGTGGGGAGGCTGCACAGCGCTGCCCATCCCCTTTACATCCCGCCTCCCCGCGTGCTCCGGCGCAGCTCCCACCCCGGGAAGCCGTAGCTGTAAGGCCTATAAGGGGTTAACACGGTAGCGTGCTTTCTGCTTCGGTAAATAAAGCTTGCACGCTGAAGATGTATAAGATATAGGCTATGTAATTTACATTTAACTTWGYCATCCGCTTCTGTAAATCTCGCTTGCTATAAGGGAGGATAAGGACTAACAGGTAAGTTACAGTTAACCTTGCCATCTGCTTCTGTAAATATTGCTTGCTACAAGGGAGTATAAGGACTAACAGGATGCACACCCTGCTCTTGTTGCTTTTGTCATGACCCCGAGGTAAGATTCCAAACATGCCAAATGGTAAGGGGATTGTGAAAAGGGGGTCAATGGTGGTCGTAAATAACGTTTTACAAAGAAGTTGTAGTCATCTATAAAAACACGAACCTCTCCTCAAACGGCGCGGATCTCGGGACAATCTGTAAGAGGTCCACCGCCGGCCGGCTAATAAAGCTTGCTTTTAAACCACCATGTTGAGCGTGCGGGTGATTGCTGGGATTACAGACTAATATTTTGGGGACTTGTCCGAGATCCCATAATCACCAGGCCCTCCCTGGCTGGGAAGGGCCATCCGACGCTTCCAGGGGGAACGCTTCCAGGGGGAGCACTACCTGAGGATGTTCCAGGTCCCCAGATCTTGCCTTCCCTTGGCGATCGGCGGCACCTCGCAAGCTTAGGGGATTCAGGGGGAGCACTACCTGACGACATGCCAGGTCCCCGGATCTCATAACCTCGAGGTAAGGGATCGTATGATCCTTAAGGGTAAGGGGCGCCAAGGTTTGGTGGTGGACTTTGGGAGGTCTGATGAGACAACAACTCCCTGCCACCKGCACGCACTGGGACGCCACTGCGTTGCCTTAGGTAAAGGTTAAGGACCAGTTCAGGTTTTAAGAGGTTTTAACCGGTTCAGGTTTTAAAAGGTTTTAAAGGTTTTAACTGTTTTTTCATGGTTTGTGTTTTTGTGTTCTTTGTGGCTATTTGTGTCTTTGTTTTGTCTGTTGTGCTGTGTTTGTTTTATTCGTCTCTTAAATCCGGACGGAATGGGACAGTGGAGCTCCATTCCCGAAGGACCTTTGAATTGTTTTCTGTCTAATTTTCCCAAATTTAGGAAATGGGTCCTTTTAAATTATGGGTTCAGTATAAAAATCTGATAAAATTATTTTGCAGTATGGAATGGCCCACTTTCGGCATCAGATGGCCCCCTGAGGGGTCCTTCGACCCCGAAATATTTCAAAAGGTATTATTTATCGTCCTGGGGGAACCTGGTCATCCTGACCAGATTCCCTATATTATTCCTTGGAATGGCATTTTAAAGGATCGTCCTATTTGGTTACAGTGCAGGGCGGAGATTTCCTATCTCCACCTCACACTGGGAGCGGGGGAGCAGGTTTATGGTCTGCATATGCTCTGGTTTATGGTCTGGTTTATGCCCAGGGGTGCTTCTTCCCCAAACTGCACCGGCCCACCAGCCCTGACGTTGCCTCTCAGGCAAGTCCCTGAAGGAAGAGGGAGCGCATATATGCATGTGCCCTTCTCCACCACGGWCCTGTATAACTGGAAGCAACAAAACCCTCCTTTCTCACAGGATCATGACAGCACGATTTCCCTTCTTAAATTTGTAATGTATAGTCATCGGCCGACATGGGATGATTGTCAGCAGTTCCTCCATGCTCAATTCACTTTGGAAGAGAGGGAGAGAATATTAAGGGGAGCTAGAGAATCAATACCAGGTATAGAAAACCTGACTGAACATGTTTGTAGAAA